CGGCGGCCATCTTGGCCCGGGCGCGCGCCCCTCTGTGGCGTGCTTGGCCTCGCCCAAAATGGCGGCGCTCTCGTGTCGCTGCTCGTTTTCCTTATTCGTTCTCCGGCTACAGCCGGCACGGCTGTGGTTGCCGGCCCCGAGCCGCCGTCGTTTCAGTGCCAGTGCCGCTTCCTGGGGCGGTAGAGGAGAGGCCGAGTTCAGGCACAGCCGCAGCGCGGAGCGACGGCCTCCAGCGTGCCCTGGCGGGTGGGCCCGTGCCCCAGTGGCCTGAGGCAGTGCTCACCTTTTCCTGCGCTACCCCTTAAAGTGCGTTTGTTATAATTGCGCAGGCACTTAAATGAGCTCAGACAAATGGATTCATGACAGTCCTTGATTATGACTAAACTGTGATATAAGAAAGCTTTGCTCGTGTTTTGTTTCATTTGTATCTTTGTTTCCCCAAGACTCCCTGTTTCCCTAGGCTTTGTGTGTTTAGGTAAGAGATCGTTAAGCTTCCTAGGTAAATCATTGATAACCGAGACTCAGGATCTTTAGTGGACACTTGGGACAGTTCCTGGAATGTGCAGACTAAGATAGGAGGGACTCGATACAGAGACCCTGTAATGAGAAGCATGGTTTTTTGCTGATTTAGGCAGAAGACACCTGGACTTGACTTGAAAGCACATGCTCTAGAAAGAAGGTCAACTAGCAAACACTGTGAAGAAGACTATTACTTCTCTCAACCACCAAAGACCCCCAGTAGAACTTAGGATACATGCTCAGAGTAGTGTCAACTTAATGTAAATGGCTTCTGAGAGCTCATTATCATAAAACAACCCTTCCCAGGAAATCTAATTAATATGTATTATTTTTATGTATGTAAACTGATGTCCCTTACTACTTGGGGGAGCCAAGAGAATCCCCAGGGTGACCCCAGCGCTGCTAACAAAAAATACCTGCTTAACAGTAAAAAACTTTACTGTTAATTTCTTTGTTCCACACTCTAGAGGGGAAACTCAAAACAGTTGTGTTTTGGCAGTTGGTTGTGTTCTAGGTGAGATGCATCGAGGGAAATACCAATGACACTATTACGTTATGCAACAGTCTCCAGTAGCTGATGTATATGTACTTAAAAACCAGTACGTGTTTATACATAAATATGTCTTACGGACATGTTTCCGTGGAATTCCATTATTAGGGAATATGTTACAGGGAAAAATCCTCAAACCGAAAGATCATATAAATTGACAAAATCTGATTTGATCAGATACGTACAGTTCACTGATGTGCACTGCAATGATGTTTGGAAAATTTCTTGTGCAGAAGGTATTTCAATATTTGTCGAAATTCAGTAACTGTTTAACACATACTTCCTGTGCTAGTTAAAATAATTCATTAACTGTATAGCATTATATGTAAAATGAATTGCTATATATTGCTATATATCCTGGAGTTACGAGAAAACAGTAGTTTTCACGTACTGCTGTTGGGAGCTCTTGTAACTTCTTTCTGAACTGCTTCACAACTTGAATCGACTGTGAGCAAAGTGGATTTCAGATCTGTGTGATTTGTCAAAACCTTGACTATTAACTGTTAGTATGGGGAATGAGTTACTCATTGTCAGTTAACACTGAATTATGTCCTCAAAAATTATATAGAGAAACAGTGGTGACCACAGTTGACACACATCCAGCTGTAGTTAAAAAGAAGGCTAAAAGAGAATTTAAGAGGGGATGTCAAATTAAAAATGAAAGATGCTAAAGCTGTGACATTTTTTGTCTGGGTGTAAATAAATATATACAAGTAAGATTTTCTGCCATTTTTCTTGGGGGATGTAGTAGGCGCTTGTGAGGCAGTATATAAAAGCTGATGCAAAATTAAATTTACAATGGCTTATCCTGCTACGTTTGGTGTTTCAATGAAAAATGTTAGAAACTAGTGTTTTGGATTATATTCAGGACAGCAGATGACTAAATGCACGGTGCAGCAGATGTCATTGAAGAAAAACGACACTGTTGAGAGCACACGAAAGTCAGAAATAAGTTCCCTGGCAAAGAGCAACTTCACCTTAAGCCATGCTCTTTTTTCTCTTTGCTTTGATTCTCGTTCAACTAAAGGCTTAAAGAAAGGTATCTCCTTGACCACTGTGAGGACACTAGATGGTGCTCAACACCACAGGCAAAGCCTGTCTTTCGCAGGCTGATGAAACCCTGACTTCCAGTTGAGAAGTTTTGCACTTGATTTCAGTTGAATGAGGATTTCACCATCTTTCCTGAAGTTTAAATACATTGTTGGTGTACTTCTGATGAAAGATGTAGGTATGAATAGCTACATACAGCTAATTATCACTGGCGCACTGCTCTCAACTAAATGCCATTCTTTTTCTCCTTACAGGTGGTGAGGTCCCAATTGATCTAGAAGTGAACATAGCTCCTGTATACCCTTCTACTCAAGTATTGCTTTATTGCATTTTCTTATACTGGGGCTAGAGTTAATGATGGTAAATTGAATGCTTACCACATAGAGCCTATTTCCTTTAAAATACCAACCTGGATGTCAAAGAGAAGGGTTTCAGTCAGAATTAATATGTGACTGTGTGAATATATGGCTTGGCAATGGATACCCATGCTAAGAGTAAAGCCCACAGTTGCACTTAAGATTCTGAATAAAAAGGAGTGAAATGTGAGGCTTATTCCTATTTAGCAAATCTGTCCTCTGGAAGGGTTTGATTTGGAAAGGAAGGATGGTTCAGGATTTAACCTGCTTGGTTTATGGCTATTTTCTTCTGTGCTAACCATAGGCCTAAAATTATGAATTTATGAAGAGAAATATCTAAAAAAATTTGTGGAGTTTTTATAACAAATGCAAGCTGCCTTTGAAAGCTAAGGCATAACACCAGACAGAGTGACTTGTAGTATCTTTGGACTAGATCTCAGTTTGCATAAATTCAACATTATACTTAACCTTTGGCACAGTATAGGAAGGGACACAGCAAATAGCTCAGCTAAGGGTTTGTTTGGGTTTTCTTAGCAGCAGCCTTTGAGGGGGGAAAAGTAATATCAAAATTAGTGGAACAAGAACCATCTGTTTTTAGCTTTAGAGGGGTTTCAAGCTAAATTCCAGTCACTAGGGCTGGTAACAATAAGGGGAACAACTCATACTCTCCGTATTGAAATGAGGACATACGTCTGATGAGACTCAGAAGGCTAATATTCAGGTTGCAAAGAGGAGAAGATAGAAGTCTGTTGAATCAGAAGGAATTAAAAATTAATGTTCATGCCTAGAATTAGAGTAAATAATGGAATTGTGTAGTGTTTTAAAAAAAAGTTTCACTTAGTTTTGACACGTGAGTTATTGCTGGGATTGTGAAACTAAGTATAGAGTTACTGGATTTATTTTGAAGGTAAAACAGAAGATCCTCAGGAGCAATGAGGGCTGGCTGCTCCATAAAGGGCAGGAGCCAAGCGCAGTAACATAGCTGATAGGGCAGAGCCTCACTGCCAGAACCCAGTCCCACAGTACCTGAGCAAAGTGAGCAAAGCACCCCAGATTCAGCCAAGAGTCCAGATCATCAGGCAAACAATGAGGTAGGTCCAAGGTCAAGCTGGGAAGGCAGCTTACAGGTTAGGGTCAGGTCCAACAAGGATAGCTAGGGTCAAATATAACCTAGTGATTGCCTGGTTGTTTTGCTGATCAAGGATGCCAATTAAACTCAGACACCAGAGTGAAAAGAGTAGGCTTATTTTACTGTTAATAATTAAAGGATATAACCAAGTAATACAGAAAATAAGCAATAATACAGAATAGTACATTTAATTATTACTACATACAGTCAATTATAGAAAATAAGAACAAGCAAGATAGTGCATCTACATGACAGGGAGAATAGTGATTAAGAAAGGTACATCACCACTTGCACATGTTACCATCATCCAGCCCCGCAGTGGCTGGGCAGCCCCGGTTACAGCGAGGGTTTGGGGAGCCTGTCCCGGCAAGGGGGAAATCCTACGCGGGGCGTCCACCCATAGGTGTCGCTGCAAGTGGGTCCAGCGTTATATACCAAAAATCAGCAAGCCAGAATAACTGGCACTTTACTTTGAGCAGAAACATCTGGTTTCATCCTCCTGTTGGATTCCACCCAAAGCCTGACCAGGCCTTGGCAGGGAGAACCAAGGGAGTTTCTAACAAGGCCAAACACTTGGGTTCTCAGCCTTGAACACTGCTAAACAAGGAAAGCTGGATACACGTTCTCATCCTCACTACTGCTTACATTTTGCCTAAGCTACATCTTTCCCTAGTGAGCACACATATTTCATTATTGATTAGATACTCATTAATAAACGCTAATTTTAATACAGATTTTATTAATTAGCAGATACCAATAACAGATAACATTTGGTTGTGAGGTTCATCTAGAGGTCAGCTTTGTTTTGGGGCCTATTATTCAGGCCCTAGCACTACACTGGTAGGCACATTCTGATAAGGAAAGATTGAAGTCAAGCTGGGAATTCAGTTTGTGTCACTGTTTGTGTCACTGTAGAGACAGACAAAGTGACACACACACTCATATGTATGAACAAACGGCTAGTTTTTTATTACTAAAAGCATGTATTTCTATATCTTTTAGGTGCCAGAGTGTTACAATATAATTGGTCAAAAAGTTGTTTTTAACATTCTCATTGGATAACCTTTATTAGTTTCCTCCCTTCTTGCTTCATCCTGCAATGTAGTCAGCAGCTCCTTGAAAGTTATTTGCTTTAAGCATAGCTTCCTTATCTCAAGGGTACACCAGAATCTTGTCAAGGTCAAACTCTTCCTCAATCAGGTTGTCAGCAAACCAGCTGCTTTCCCCAACAAGTCTGTAAGTCCAGATCCAGATGAACATGGCTAGACACAGTCATCACTGAGCTGGAGACCCATACTCACACAGCCCAGGTTGGTGCTGAAGGTCCAGGGTTCAACTTA